CTGGAAAGGATGTGAGATTGATGGCAAGTGTGGCCGAGTGTGGGAGGAGTCAGGAATGGGGCTGCAGAAGAAGGTTGGCTCGGGAATTTAAAACCCAGACATGGCAGCCATTGCAGGAGAGAACCACACGGTTTTGGCTGAGTGGCGACTCCCGTGGCCCTGGGAGAGAGGACCACTGGGCTGGAGCAGTGGAGAGAGAACCTCATGCCTTTCCCAGAGTGGGGACCTCTGCAGCATTAGTAGGGGGAACCACCACCCGGCTTTAGCAGAGATCCTGGCAACACAGGTGAGGTTGCCGGGAACCGAGGGAGGTCTCCCAGCCAAGATGGATTACTGGGAAGAACTGGGGACTGCCTGAGCCAGGGACTTCTATCTTTTCCTGAGATACAGTACCCCAGAATGGGCAAAGGGGGAAGGAAGGACTGTGAGTGTTTGTGGGTGTTTTAAGGGACTTTGGGATTTTGAATAAGACATTAGGTCACTACTTTAAGTTTGTATAGCATTAAATAAACGTTTCCTTTCCTTTTCACGAATCTCTGGCATTGAGAGACATCTTTCCTATAGGTGGTGGACATAATGAACCTGGGGGTTCCTTTTGGGTAATAGTATATTGCCCTTGGCCGGCCCCCTTGTTGTTCTGAAACATCAGCACCCTTTTTTGAAGAGACTGTTTTTCCTCCATTGAGTATTCTTGACTCCATCATCAAATATTAGTCAACCACATATGCATGGGCCCACTAATCTCTGCCATTGACCTATGTGTCCATTTCTGTGCCAGTAACATACTGTTTTGATCACTATAGCATTGTACTGTAGTTTGAAATAAAAAAGTGTGATGCCTCCAGCACTGTTATTTTTTCATATTGCTTTGCTGTTGTGGAACATTTATGTTCCTTGTACATTTCAGGAACGTTTTTCCTATTCTATAAAAACTATCATTGGGATGTTGATGGGAATAGCATTGAATCTGTAGATCACTATGAGTAGCATGGATACTTTACAATATTAGCTCTTCCAATCCATGAGCATTGGATATATTTCCATTTAGTTGTGTCTTCTTTGATTTCTTCCTCAATGTCTTATAGTTTTCAGTATACAAGTCTTTCTTTCACCTCTTTGCTAAATTTGTTCCTAAGTATTTCATTGTTTTTGATGCTCTTGCAAATAGGATTACTTTTTAATTTACTTGCCAGGTATAGTTTTGTTGATGCAGAGATACACCTTTGACAGAAAAGGGGACAGATTACACTAAAACCACAGAAATAAGTATCTCTTTTGTGCAAGCATATGAGTGACCAGAAATTTTTCTCCTTAAAGAGGTCAGAATGAAGCAGCATCCAGAAGCCCAAGAGAAAATGCTAACAGGCTGAGTTGAAGATGGTACAGTGTGTTGGCCATGGGGATGGGTACTCAAGCCACATACCATGAATCAGAATGCTCAATAAAGAATTCACCTCTGAAACACCTATGTTCTTCCCTAGAGAGTGAAAATACTTTCCCCCTATTTTTCATTTCAGCATTAGTTCTATAATTTGCTGGGCCCTTCAACTCATAAATATTAAATGAATCTGAAATAATAGTATATTCAAAAAGAATAACAATTGTAATGGGTTATGACTCAGAAATTAAATGAGGATTGTGAATTCATAATAATATATGAGGTCTGTCAAGAAGGTGTCCAACCAGGTAATATGAAAAATAAAGACATTTATTGAAGAACACACAAGATACAAGAAATATTGTACCAAGGACAAGGATGCCTCAGTCCCCTTCAAAGTAGGCACCTTGGAGCCTCACAAAGTTCTCCCAATCACTATCTGCTGCCCTGCCATATTTTCCTGAATCTTATCAAAGGTCTGAAATCTCTTCTCTTTCAAAGATGATTTTAGTTTTAGGAAAATCTAGAAGTCACAGGGCACCAAATCTGGGCTGTTGGGGGGCTGAGTCACCTGGGTGATTTGGTGATTCACCAAAACACTCTCCACGAGACATAATGCATGAGCAGCTATGTTGTCCTGATGAAGGTGCCACTCACCAGCTGCCCATAGCTAAGGCCTTCTGGATCATCCAAATAGTTTCTGTGGAGAATGTTCAAGCCTAACGCAAAATGTGATGCACAAACATTGTTGTACTCGCTCAGTCATTTTGAAAGTGAAAGCCACACAGTATACATGCTCATTCAACAGTGTGTACTGTCCCCACTCATTAGTATAATAAAGTCATCATTGTTCATGCATGTGCATTGCAGTCCACTCGTCTTGGCTCCCAGTTACATCGATGTCACACATACTGTTCTCGTTATATTAACAATGGCTGTGTTTTTTCCAGACAGACCTCGTATTATCTATAGCAGTGTATGTGGGATACTCGCCATTGCCCCAGGTCAATTCTCCAGCTTCCTCCACTGTGTTTTGTCTCAGGAGTCGGACCTTTATGGGCTGCATCAAGTGGGCTCCCTGGCCCTTTGGGATAGGCCAATGGAAAACACAAGCAAAAGATCAAAGGCAGAAGGAGAAAGAGGTTGGGGCATTTAGTCTGTTGTTCTCCCTGCTGGACCATGGGGTGACAGTGGCCATCCACAGTTCCTGTTTAGGGGTCCTCTCTTAAACCTACATGTCTCACCAGGTTCTGATGACCACCCCCTCCTCTTACACCTGTTCCCCACTGTTGCTAGCCCTCACCACGCCATAAGAGTTCCCCTCAAACTGACCAACACCTTTCTAAACAAGCCATTATTACAATCTCTTTTTAAAAATCCTTTGTCCCAGCTGGATCCATGTCCAAGAAGAAAGGCATCACTGGCATCAGGGACACTGTTCCCTGGGACTTCAGTCCCCTCTGGTCCTGGACACACAGCTCCCCAAAGGGCAGTCAGAAGTGGGCCAATTACCCTGTGGTGGCTCCTCCCTGGCCCAGAAGCTTGGGGACTTTGTTTCAGTCCTCATATCGGTAATTAAAATGTTACCCTTTTGCTCATTGCTCTGGAGTTGGTTTAGAAACATAAACACCTGCAGAAGCACTGAGACCACAGAGATTTCTTCTTTTTGTCTTAGTCTCCTAAAGAGAGCTGAGGAGTCAGGCCACAGTCTGGAGCAGAAGGGTCTGAGATCACCAAGGATGAGCTCAAGTCAGAGGAGCTGTAATTGTGCACTTGACTATGGTTCTGCCTGTGGACAGGTGGGCTTCTGTGTGATACTCTTTGTCTCTGTGTATCATATATGCATCCTTGTGTACATGTCATTTGGTAGTTTCATGTGTGTGCTTGTGCTGTGTATCTGACTCACAGCCTGACTCTTTTCCTCAGTTACCTAACCTGGGCTGTTTCAGTGCATATACCAAGGGTGTTCAACCTGTGGCCTATGAGCTACATGTGGCTCAGGATGGCTATGAAATGGCCCAACACAAAATCATAAATTTACTTAAGACATTATGAGATTTTTTTGTGATTATGTGTTACAGTATATTTAATGTGTGGCCCAAGACAACTGTTCTTCTTCCAGTGTGGCCCAGAGATGCCAAAAGGTTGGACACCCCTGTATCAGCCTCCTGGTATGTGATTAGGGACTCCTGATTCATGCCTGTGATTGTAAGTACTTGCATCACAGTTGAGCATCAGAGGTGACATTGTTGGCTCTGGTGCTGGACAAGAAGACAACTGACCTCACTGGAGCCAAGGTCAGGTCAGAGAGGGTTCACACTCTGCTCAGCAGCATATGCTGGTGTACATGAGAGCTGTGTCTGTGGGTGACACACTGGTGTGTGAGAGCAGGAAGGTGTTCTGTTTGGTTTTCTCTCTGTGTTACCATGTTGTGTGACCATGTGCATGGGATGTTGGTGGTGGTTTAATCAGTGTGCCTGTGACTGAACAGGCTTAACTGCCCCATGCTGATGGCCTTCCCCCAGGAAGGGGATGGGTCAGAAAGGGTGGAAGCATGCCCTCATTATTAATAGGAGGGTGTATGCTGCTTGTTGTAGAGTGTGTGTGGCTGGGTGTGCAATAAATATGTATTCCTGAATAAATGATAATGAATGTAATGGTCTTTTCTCAATCAGAAAGCAGATCAATATAAATGGAGGGAACTATTTAGGTAGGGATCTAAGAAACTATTGACCTGCTTGCAACCCTACAGTAACCCAGGGTGTTACCAAGGATGGGAGAGGTGTCCATGGGTGGTAGTTAAGAGCACCGGCTGTGATCATGCAGATGGAGTAGACTGACCTGCATATTTGATAATTTTTCCCTTTAACTTTATTCTAATCATAGTTGACATACAATACAATATTAGTTTCAGGTGTGTACAACATGGTGATTCAACATTTAAATAACTACTTGTCACCATAAAAAGTTATTCCATTATTGGCTATTAAAAAGTATTTGATATTTTTTAACCTATAGAAAATGGCAATACATACTATTTATATATGCACGTAAGATTTATATCATTTTTATGTTTCTATTTCCTACCAGCTAATATAAGCGAGAAAGAATACCCATTCTTACCGTAGTTGTGAAGATATTTTAGTTTGGGAATGTAAGGCTGATGTTGGATTATAAAAGGTAGACAAAGCCCCTAACTTAATATACAGCTCAGTGTTTATGGCCCCAGGATGGCCAGCATTATTATGGAAGACTTTGTGGACTGTTCTGGTTTTAGAGCTATTCTGGCATCAAAGGGCTTTAAACAGTCACCCATTTGTGGAGTGGGCCTGAGTTTACAGCTGTAGGTCAATGGCACCTGGCAGGTGAAGTGATTAGCCAAAGAATATACACGGCATGACCCATTCTGTGGTGATGGCCTAAGGGAGTGGGGGAGTGTGGGGTAGGTGGATGCAGGAAAGAGAAAAAATGGGAACTGTAATGGTGTAAACAATAAAAAAATAAGGGAAAAATTTCATGATTTTCCCATTAAAATACAGTATGAGATGTGATGGTCCTGCTTGTCTTTCTAGGATCCTGAGATTCCCAAACCTCCTTTGTCCCCAGCAGACAGAAGAGCAGCATGAGGCCTGAGAACCAGAGCAGAGTGTCCGAGTTCCTCCTCCTGGGGCTGCCCATCCTGCCAGAGCACCAGGGTGTGTTCTTCACCCTGTTCCTGGGCATGTACCTGACCACGGTGCTGGGCAACCTGCTCATCATCCTGCTCATCAGGCTGGACTCCCGCCTGCACACGCCCATGTACTTCTTCCTCAGCCACCTGGCCCTCACTGATGTCTCTTTCTCATCTGTCACTGTCCCTAGGATGCTGATGAACATGCAGACTCATCACTTCTTCATTTCCTACCCAGGGTGTATTTCTCAGTTGTATTTTTATATATGTTTTGGTTGTGTTGATAATCTTCTTCTGGCAGTGATGGCATATGACAGGTATGTGGCCATCTGTCACCCTCTACACTATAACACCATCATGAGGGAGGAGTTGTGTGTGCTGCTGGTGAGTGCCTCATGGATTACTTCATGTGCCCATGCACTGTTGCACACTGTCCCCATGGTCCGACTCTCCTTCTGTGCCAACAATGTCATCACCCACTTCCTCTGTGACCTCAATGCACTCCTGAAGCTCAGCTGCTCAGACATCTCCCTCAATGAGCTGGTCCTTCTCACTGAGGGAGGAATGGTTTTATTTTTGCCTTTGGCTATTATTTTGGGCTCATATATCCGTATAGGGACCATCATCCTGAAGGCTCCCTCCACTAAGAGACTCTTGAAAGCTTTTTCTACCTGTGGCTCCCATCTCCTTGTGGTGTCTTTATTCTATGGGACACTTGCAGGTATTTACTTTTTGTCCTCATCATGGGATTCCAAAGATGTTATTGCTTCGGTCATGTATACGGTAGTTACCCCCATGCTGAACCCCTTCATCTACAGCCTGAGGAACAGAGATGTAAAGCAGGCCTTAGAATGTGTGCTAACAGGGTTAAAGAAGTTCATATGTCAAGGAGGTCACATTTGCTACTTGGATTGTTTATAATTTTTTATTCCTAAACAATATTTTTCACTTGTTCATCATCTATTATAAAGTATATACAAAATCTTCTGCAAAACCTGTTGCACAATTTTAACTATCAATTTGTCTTTTTTTCCACTGAGATATGTCAGTTCTTCCTTATGTATTTTTATTATGTATTATGAGGACACCTGATTTAGTGTCATGGTCTACTACTGGGGAACTTACCTAACTTTTTTGAACTGAATCTGTTATGCTGGCTTTTGTCAGCTTCAGGTTCATTATGCACACGTCTTCCCAACTCACATTCAATGATGTCATGCTGGCTGACAGCAATCAGCCATGATTAGAATAATTATACTATGAAAATTCACATGTGCTACACAGCAAAATTTTCAACCAAAGAGACTCAGGCTTTTTAAAAATGCATTTAAAAAACACTAGTTTGTTTAAAATGAGCCGATATTTCTAACAATGGGTCCTGCATTAATACTTCATCTACTTCTCATATTAATATTGATATTTTATACCTATACACATAGATACACATACAGATAGAGATAGATAGATAGATACAGATTTGGATACAGATATTTCTAGGAATGGGGCCTGCAATAATAGTTCATTTACTTCTCATATTAATATCAATACTTTACATCTGTAGACATAGATGTATATATAGATATAGATATAGGTATTACTATAGTATTTGTAGTAAAGATGCAGCTTTTCTCATGTTAGGTTTTACATGGCATTTTTTTCCCATCACTTTAGACTTTACTGTGTCCAAATTGTCAGTGAGGTGTCCTTTTGTCACTGGTGTAAATGAAGTTGGATTTTGTTCTTTTCATGTGCAGCAACAATTGTTACTTTTGGAACTATTTCTCTATTGACATCTAAAGTAATCATAATGTATTTGATTAGTTCCCTATAACTATGTGATATACCTGCTTCACATTTATTCTCTCTTGTTTGTCTCCCTTTTGATATTCATATATATTTCAATATTCCATTACACTTCTACTAACTTATTAATCATACATTATTACTATTTTGTAATTCTTTTCCGTGATGCATGCAGAGATTATTTCTTACTTTCTTTTTAATTTTTAAGTAATGTTTAATATAGAAACCGGACATTGACCACTTTAGCCTTCTAAGATATGCACTTCAGTGGCATTTAGGAGATTCATCACCAATATCTCAATTTTGGACACTTACTAGAAATTCTAGAGAACATCAATCAAATTGAGAAATTTTCAACTGTGAAAAATAAAAGCAAAGATATCTATGAATCAATATGGAGAAACATCTGGATATATTGTTAAATGGAAACAAGCAATGTGCAAAAGGGCACTTATAACACTGAACTTTTGTTAAAAATTAAGGGAAAGTAAAATATACATATGTCTGCCCATTTCAGCAAAAAGGAATACAGGAAGAATAAATCAGAAACTAATGAGGTGGTTTACCAAGAGAAGGTAGGCAGAAGGGATGGGAGATGAGTATAATTATTAGCATGATTATGACCATGTTGTCTTTTGCCACTAGAAAAGAAATAGAAGAGGTGGTGCATAAAGCAAAATAGAATCAAGAAGACAAATGAACCTAACTCTATCTTAAATAAATACCATAATTAGACTAAAGAGGGAAATAATGTAAGTACCCTAGTAATTCTTGAACCCAGATGTCTGTCTATATACTCTCACAAAAACAAAAAACTGGAAACAAAGTCCTAAGCTGTAGTTAGCGTGTCATGAACAGTGGTATGAGTTCAAGATTCTGAACTACTTCCCATGTATCCAAAGATTCAGCAAACAAGTAAACACTGAGGAGAAGGGAGTGACCCCTCGCTCTCATGGGAAAGGTTCTATGCATAGAAAAGGAGAAGCTGCAAAGGACTCTTGGGTGTTAACTAGAATTGGAGATATCAGTTCGAGCTCATGGGTTTTAAAAATTATAAATAGATGGAAACATCTGTGTGTATATATATATATATATATATCTTTATCTTCTGATCGCTCATGCTTTCTGTCCCACTCTTGACACACACCTATGTATAAACATTCCTTTAGACTTTGGTTTCAAGGTTTCACTTATTGTGTTCCTTTTATATATATATTCCCTAGTTGACCTCTCTGATATTATTTAGAATCCTTGTAAACAATAAATACACCTACAGATTCAAAATGAATAACAATTGTAATGGATTGTAACTCACAGAATAATAAGCAAAAATCTATGAGTCCATAATGACATAAACAAAGAGAAAACAAATGAGTGGGGAATAAGGGTAACTTCTTTCTTATAAGAGAACACATTAATAAACATAGGAAAAAGATAGGATTTGAAAAATTACCATCTGGCCATCACATTTGTGATAATCTTGTCATATAAGAATCATTAATGAGATCAAGATGTTGGCATAAGTAAACACAGCCCTCCTCCTTGCAAAACCACATCAAATTGCAATTAAAGTATAGAACACCCATCACTCAGAACTTTCAGGAATCGAGTTGAGTGGAAGTCCAACAACTACAGAATTAAAGAAACCACATCCATCTACACCGGTATAAGAAGAAGAGTTGTTCAACAGGAGCGTCCAATATCTGCATGTGGTGGATAAAAATTTGAGAGGAATATCTCGGGAACTAGGAGTCCCAGCCCCACAACAGCCCCCAGCCCAGAGTTTCACGGCCAGGAAGACAAGTCTCCATCCTTCTCTTTCCAAAAATCAGTGGAGATTGAGTTGAGGGAAGAAACTTCTAAACTCCTAAGCACTTCTTCTTAAAGAAAACACATACAGATTCAGGCTCACTCCCTCTGGGCTCCAGCACTGGGCTAGCAGTTTGAGAGGCACCAGTGGCATACTGGGAGAAACTCAAGTGTTGGCATCAAGGTGAGAGCTGGGCAACAGTTTTCTTAGAGGCAAAAAGGCAGGCAGAGGCCACTGTCCCTTTTCTGAGTCCTCTCTGCACAAAGCCACAGAGCTAACATGTGGGTGCCATATCTGAGACTCCATCAACCTGCCTTACACTGTTTGCCCTGCCCTAGAGATCCCCTGAGAGTCAGTCTCACCCAACTTATGGACCCACAGGCTCTTAACAGTGGCCTTTCCATATGAATGGCTGGTCTTGACTCATGCTTCACAACTTCCTAATATCTCAAACAAGCAACAGCCAGCCTCAGTGAGCCACCATCCTCCATACCTCTTGCTAAGTGGTCCCAGGCCTGGCACTAGCAGCAGCCAGCCTTGATTCAGAGCTTGGCTTTGCCTGGAAAACTCCAAGCCCAGCACAGGTAGCAGTCCACTCAAATGGCTTTATAGCTAATGCAGGGTAGCTTCAGGCAGAACACAGGAGGTGGCTAACCTTGTCTTGAACCACATCAGAAACCTCAGAGCCTGTGCATCCAGTGGACAGCTACAGACCATGTCAGAGCACCATCTCCTTGCTCCTGTACAGCTGATCCTCCACAGAAGGTGGAGGATGGTGGTAAGTCTTTGCAGGTGACTGGCCTGCATAAAGCATTCCCATTAACCTGCCAGCAGCAACTGAGGCTAAACTACAAGAAGAGAATATACTCAGTCCACACAAAGTGCACACCTTGAGTACCCAGCTTGGGTGACAGGGGAAGCTGTTCTATTGGTCCCTACAGGACACCTATAACATTAGGCCACTCTACTAAGACAGGGAGTCATAGCAGCTCTACCTAACACACAGAAACAAACATGGGGAGGCTGACAAAATGAGTACACAAAGAAACAAGGCCCAAATCAAAGAACTGAAAAAAACTCCAGAAAACGAACTAAACAAAATGGAGACAAGCACTCTATCAGATGCAGAGTTCAAAATAATGCTTAGAAGGCTGCTCAAGGAACTTAGGAGGAACTTCAACAGAAGAAAAAAGATCCAGTCAGAAACAAAGGATACACAAATTAAAATACAGAACAATGTAAAGGGAAACAACAGCAGAGTGGACAAAGCTGAGCATCAAATCAGTGATTTGGAACTTAAGAAAATAAAAGACAACAAGAAGAAAAAGGAATCAAAAACAAAACCAAGGATACTGTAAGGATCCTCTGTATCAACCTCAAATGTTCCAACATTCACATTGGGGTGCCAGAAGGGGGAAGAGAAAAGGCTAGAAATTGAAAATCTATTTGGAAAAAAACAATAAAAAAGAGCTTCTGTTATTTGGTGAAGGAAATAGACATGCCAGTTCAAGAAGCACAGAGAGTCCCAAACAAGATGGATGCAAACAGGCCCACTCTAAGGTGCATCATCATTAAAATGCCAAAGGTTAAATATAAAGGGAAAGTCTTAAAGGCAGCAAGAGAAAAGCAGGTAGTTACCTACAACGAAGTTCCCATAAGACTATCAACTGATTTCTCAAAAGACACTTTGTAGGCTAGAAGAAATAGGCAAGAAATATTCAAAGTCAATAAAAGCAGGGACCTACAATGAAGATTGCTCTACCCAGCAAGGTTATCATTTAGACTCCAAGGGCAGATAAAGAACTTCCCAGACAGAAAGAACTAAGGGAGTTCTTCATCTATAAGCCATTACTATATGAAATGTTGGAAGGATTTATTTAAGAAAAGGAGAAAAACTATGAACAATAAAATGCCAATAAACACGTACATATCTATCAACAACTGAATCTCCAAAACAGACTAGGCAAACATAAACAGCAGAGACAAAATAATGGATATGGAGAGTGTGCTGATGATTGCCAGATGGGAGGGGAGTGTGGGAAATGGGTGAAGAGGTGAGAGAGTTAAGTACAAACAGGTAGTTGCACAATAGCCATGGGGATGTAAAATAAGGGAAATGGAGTAGCCAAAGAATTTATATGCATGACCCATGGGTGTGAAAAACAGAGTGGGGACTGCCTGAGGGAGTGGGTGGTGCTGGGTGATGGGGCAAAATTGGGAAAAATTGGGACAACTGTAACAGCATAATCAAAGAATAAAATTTTTTAAAAAAGGAAAGCAAACAAAGAATAACCAATGATGTTAAATGTAGTGGCTGAAATGTTAATGAGGAAAATGTTATGTTTATATATCATCAAAATATCTACTCAAATGATACCTTATCATAACCAGGTGAAAATATTAACTTTAAAACAATAGTCACTTTAGAAGACAACCTGCCACATACCACCATAGTCAATTGATCAAGGATTCAAACACTAGTAGATGAGAAAATTAATATCATGTCTTCTAATAACATGCTTTGTGGCATACCTGCTGAAACCCTAAGCCTGTAAAATACTTACATTAATACAGGTATGCACACAGAAGGTAAACATACTAAAACATCAAACATTGGAGAATCAGCATAGGGCCTTTTCAGGAATTCTTGACATCATTTTTATAACATTTCAGTATCTTCAAAATCATTTCCAAATGAAAAGTTAACAAATCCTTTGTGTCAGCTGGCACATGCCCAAGAAGAAAGGACTCCAGGCATCACTGGAATCAGGGACACTGTCCCCTAGGACTCTAGTCCCTCTGGCTCTTGGACACCCAGCTCCCCAAAGGGCAGGCAGAAATTAGCCACAAGCTTGGGGACTGGGTGCCAGTCTCTCATTAGTAAGGGTTATCTTTTAAGTCATCTCTCTGGAGCTGTTTAAACAAAATGAAAGTCTGTACAAGTGCCAAGGCCCCAGATGTTTCTTCTGTTTGTGTTGATGTTAGGACTCCTGAGGACAACCTGAGGAGCTGGGCAACAGTCTGGAGCAGAAAGTGTCTGAACTCACCAAAGAAGAGCAGCACAGGTCAGAGAGGCTGGATGTCTGCACTGATGGACAGATCTGTCTGTGTGATGGTGGATTCATGGATGAGACTCTCAGTTCATGACTGTGTGTGTGTCTCTGTGAGCCTTCAGGTACTGTGTATGCTTGTGCACATTCTGTGTGGTAGTTGCATTTGTGTGCACACATGTGTGCACACGTATCTCACTCACAGCCTGACTCTTCCTGAGTTAGACCCAACCTGGCCCTGTTTTAGCCCCTGTACACCAAGTTATCAGCCTCTTGCCTGTGATTAGGGACTCCTGATTCATGCCTGGGACCCTAAGTACTTGCAGCACAGCTGCACATCAGAGGTGACATTGTTGGCTCTGGTGCTGGACAGGAAGATGCCTGACCTCAGAGTAGCCAAGGTAAGGTCAGAGAAGGGTCACACCTCTGCTCAGCAGCATGTGCTGGTGCACGTGTGAGCTGTGTCTGTGGGTAACACACTAGTGTATTAGAGCAGCAGGGTGTATTGTTTGGTTTTCTCTGTATAGTGGTGTGTTGCGTGACCATGTGCATGGCATTGTGGTTTACCACGTGCATATCATGTTGTGGTGGTTTAATGAGTGCCCCGGTGATTGAATAGGCTAACCTGTCCCAAGCTGATGGCCTTCCCCCAGGAAGGGGATGGGTCAGAAGGGGCAGAAGCATGCCCTCATTTGTAATAGGACAGGAGGGTGTGTGCTGCGTGTTGTGGCGACTGTGTGGCATGGGGTGCATGTTCTGTTTGTGTGTTTCTTGTGAGGTTTGTTTTGTTTGAGGCCTTGTGTGTTTTTGGTGACATGTGTGCAGTGTTAGTGTATATGTGGTGAGCTTTTACCGGGTGTGTCATGAGTGAGGTGTGTTCATGTGCATTGCGAGTGTGTTTGCAGGTGACTGGTCCATGAATGTCCGGATGTATGTCTCTTTTGTGTGTTTCTTAGGATTTGTATGTATATGTGTGTATGTTATGAGCTCTCCTTCCCTTGGGGTGGGAACTTGGTACCAGATAACTAATATTCACAACTCAGCACTGTGTGTGTGTGATCTGCATCAATGACCTCGATTTTTTTTTAAGTGTCTTCATTTGGGGCACCATTAGCTGAGGAACCAAATTCCAAAAAACGTCCTGTTTCTGGAAATGGAACTGCTGTCATATTCATGTACCTGTGTGACTGATTTGGCTCAGAATGTTGCAAGTCTTTAGTGTTACTAAACAGCAAGGCAAAACGCATTCCAAGCATCCTGCTGTGAGAACTTATTGGGCAGAATGACCTTCATATCATGGTGACCTTTGAAAGTTATTTAAATCCTTGGCCTCAGTTTATATCTATAAAGTGGAAAGATTTACACTTCCTTGTGAATCTTACAGAGGCTTTCAGGAATTGTTTATTTTATGAAAATTTGTATGTATTGGTGTTGCGTGTGGGTCACCGGCCAGCAGTGACCACGGAACGCTGTGGATGGCTCGACGAAAAACACGCGAGAAAAAACACACATGCACAGAGACAGACTAGTTTCTGTGGGGAAGTAGGGATGAAATGGCCAGCCCCCTAGTGGGTAGCGCGCCGATTTACAGTCCATATCTACTTTTATTGGGCTCATTCTGCATAATAATTCAGGTAAAGTACAGAAGTCATTAGGGGGAAGTAAGGAACCATAGAAAACAAAGAACTCTGCTGGTCTATTTTGAGTCGGGGTAAAAGAGCTGTAAGACTTTGAGGAACAAACTAACTTCCTCCTAAGATCCTTCTCATTCAACTGAGAGCATTCTAAACAAAGAAGGTTTCACAGTAATTTACATGTTCTTTCCTAGGCCTGATCACCCCCGGGGAATCCGCACTTCTCAGCACAGAGCTGCACCACCCTGTCATTGTTTCAGGCTTAGGTGGAGCAAGGGAACCAAGGCAACTGAGAGACAAGGAGGTTTTCTCCCAGATGCTGAGAACTTAGGCTATGTCAGAGCCGAGGAGCGAGGGTCCATCACCCCCTTTGGCTGCAGCCCCCCAAGTACTGCTTTTGGGGGGCCTCCCAAAGTGATCATTCCTGTCTTAGGTCATTCCCCCCATGGGGAATCTTATCCGTCTTTGGCTAGCCGACCAAGCTTTATGGGGTTCAGTCATGAATAAAGCAACAGAAGCAGCATTCCTGCCAGGGAGATAAGCTTTTGTCTCCTTGCTGGCTTACAGTTCCAAGGGCGTTCCCTTAGCTTTAGCCTAGTCGGGGGTTTCAGCTTCTGATACCAGTCAGGGCGGTTCCCAACATATTGGAGAATTTTTCTCACTTGCAGGGTATATAAATGTGAAGGAACACAATTAGTAAGGAGACTAAGGAAATTTTGGACAAATTGGAGTCCTTACAGCTCTAAAACAATATATCATGCTTGCCTCCCCTAACCAACAAATGGGAAGTTTCTGTGTGAAATGGTTTAGAGCATGGGTGCTGATTACACACATGTATTAGACTGAAACTTATGAAGCAGCTAGTACTTGGTCATTGTGAGGTATAGAAAATGGTAACACATATATGTCATTTATTTATTATATATTGCATATAATATAAACACAAATACACATCTGTGTACCATTTTCCCCACTAGTGTACTGCTCTGTGCCTACAGAGTTTGTATCATTTATGATTCTCTTTTTTAAAAACTGAAATACGTGAAAGACCACAAATTCTTACTGCAGCTGTGAAGTGGTTGTAATGTCTGGGAACGTAAGTCTGATGAGTGGATATAGTTAGGGAACACAGGTGAAGTCCTCAGTCCAGTACTCAGATATTCACTAAACTGTTCAGCACTGTTATGAAAGACAGTTTGTGGACTTTTCTGGTTTTGGAGCTATTGTGGCATCAAGTGGCTTTAAATCGCTATGAATTTCTAGAGTGTCCCTTAGGTTACAGCTGTGGGTTAGTGGGACTTCACAGGTTCACAGGCAGAGAGTCACATAATTCGAACATCCCCTCAGCACTGGAGTCTCATGTTTACTTAAGGCAGACACAAGTGATCCCAGTTTTCAGGGCTCATCTTCCAATTCTGCTACAGCGAATTGTGGATTCACTGGACTGGGGTAAAAATTACCCCTCCATGCTCATCAAGGTCTAAACTCCCAGAAATGGGGACCTTGCTTTTCCTGTTCACTGTGGCATCTCAGTCCTTAGTAGAGGTTCGACACACTCCGTGTTCAATAAGTAATGGGTGAATGAAACGATGGAGGCCTCCTGCTTCTGTGCAATGAGGTCTTGTTGGCTGGGTCCACTATTTTCCTGGAACCAGACTGGGTTACAGCAGCGATGCACACATTTACTAGTACAAAAAATTAATGAGGGTATAGTTAAAAAGTTGTGTATTTCCCAGAAAATTACAGTATGAGATGTGATGATCCTGGTTGTCTTTCCAGGATTCTGAGAGTCCCAAACCTTCCTCATCTCCAGCAGACAGAAGAGCAGCATGAGGCCTGAGAACCAGAGCAGCGTGTCCAATTTCCTCCTCCTGGGGCTCCCCATCAGGCCAGGGAGAGCAGGGGGATGTTCTTCTCTCTGTTCCTGGGCATGTACCTGACCACAGTGCTGGGCAACCTGCTCATCATCCTGCTCATCAGGCTGGACCCCCACCTGCACACGCCCATGTACTTCTTCCTCAGCCACTTGGCCTTCTCTGACTTTTCTCTGTCATCTGGCACTGTCCCTAAGATGCTGATGAACATGCAGACTCAGCAACAATCCATCCCCTATGTGGGATGCATTTCTCAGTTGTATTTTCTCATGCTTTTTGGCTGTCTTGAAAATATCCTTCTTGCCATGATGGCATATGACAGGTATGTGGCCATTTGTCACCCTCTACACTATAACACCATCATGAGGGATGAGTTGTGTGTGCTGCTGGCAGCTGCCTCATGGATTACTTCATGTGCCCATGCCCTGTTGCACACTGTCCTCTTGGTCCGACTCTCCTTCTGTGCCGACAATGTCATCACCCACTTCTTCTGTGACATCACTGTGCTCCTAAAGCTCAGCTGCTCAGACATCTCCCTCAATGAGCTGGTCATTCTCACTGAGGGAGGAATGATTTTACTTTTGCCTTTGGCTCTTACTTTGGGCTCATACATCCGTATAGGCACCATCATCCTGAGGGCTCCCTCCACTAAGAGACTCTTGAAAGCCTTCTCTACCTGTGGCTCCCATCTCTTTGTGGTGTGTTTATTCTATGGGACAACTGTAGGTGTTTACTTTTTGTCCTCATCATGGGATTCCAGAGATGTAATTGCTTCGGTCATGTATACGGTAGTTACCCCCATGCTGAACCCCTTCATCTACAGTCTGAGGAACAGAGATGTAAAGGAGGCCTTAGAATATTTCTCTACAGGATTAAAAAAGTTAATATATCAACCAGGTCATGTTTGATACTTAAGTTATTTATAATTCTTTATTCCTAAATAATATGTTTCACTTATTCATCATCTCTGATAAGTGTCTGAGTATATGAGAAATCTTTATAAAACATGTTGCACAATTTTACTATGAATTTGTCTTTTTCTCCACTGAGATATGTCAGTGTTTGCTTATGTATTTTCACACTGTATTATGAAGACATACTGATTTAGCGTCATGGTCTGCTACTGGTGTGTTCCTCCCTTTTGTTTAATTATATATATTTTGGTATTCCATTACCCCTCTACCAACTTATTAATCATACATTATTACTATTTTGTAATTCTTTTCTGGGCTGTATGAAGAGATTACTTCTTACTGCCTCTTTAATTTTTAACTAATGTGTAATATACAAAACACCACATTGACCACTTTAGCCTTCTAAGATACATAATGTGGTGGCATTTAGGGAGACTCATCACCAATATCTCAAATTTAGGACCCCCTACATGAAACTCTAAAGAGCATCAATGACATTGAGTAATTGGCAACTGTCAAAAAAATAAAAGCAAAGACATCTATGAATCAATATGGAGAATCATCTGGATATATTGTAAAATGGAAACAAGCAATGTGCAAAAGGGTACTGATACTACTGAACTTTTGGTAAAAATTAAGGAGAAATAAAATATACATATGTCTGCCCATTTGAGCAAAAAGAAACACAGGAATAATAAATCAGAACCTAATGAGGTGGTTTGCCCAGAGAAGGTGGACAGAAGAGATGCGAGGTGAGTATAATTATTAGCCTGGTTATGAGCATGTGGTCTTTTGCCACTAGAAGAGAAATAGAAGAGGTGGTGCATAAAGCAAAATAGAATCAAGAAGACAAATGAACCTAACTCTATCTTAAATAAATACCATAATCAGACCAAAGAGGGAAATAATGTAAGTACCCTAGTAATTCTTGAACCCAGAATTTTGTCTATATACCTACACAATAAAAAAAAACTGGAAACAAAGTCTTAAGCTGTACTTAGCATGTCATTAACAGTGGTATGAGTTCAAGATTCTAAACTACTTCCCATGTATACAAAGATTCAGCAAACAAGTAAACACAGAGGAGAAGGGAGTGACTCCTTGCTGTCCTGGGAAAGGTACTGTACATAGAAAAGAAGAAGCTGCAAAAGGACTCTCAGGTGTTAACTAAAATTGGAGATATCAGTTTGAGCTCATGGGTTTTAAAAATTATAAATAGATGGAAACTTTTGTGTGTGTTTATATATATATATATCTTTATCTTCTGATCCATCATTCTTTCTGTCCCACTCCTGATACACACCCATGTATAAACATTCCTTTAGACTTTGGTTTTCAAGGTTTTACTTCTTGTGTTCCTTTTATATATATTCCCTAGTTGACTTCTCTAGGAAATTATTTAGAATCCTTGTAAACAATAAACACACCTAGATATTCAAAATGAATAACAATTGTATTGGATTATAACTCAGAGAATAATAAGAAAAATCCATGAGTCCATAATGAAATAAACAAAGAGAAAACAAATGAGTGGGGAATAAGGGTAACTACCTTCTTATAAGAGAACACAATTAATAAACATAGGAATAAAACATAGTATTTGAAAAATTACCATCTGGCTGTCACATTTGTGATAATCTTGTCATAGAAGAATCATCAATAAGATCAAGATGTTGGCATAGGTAAACACAACTCTCCTCCTTGCCTAACCATATCAAATTACAACTAAACTACAGAACACCCATCACTCAGAACTGTCAGGAATCGAGTTGAGTGGAAGTCCGACAACTATGGAATTAAGGAAAACATATCCATCCAGACTAGTATAATGGGTGGAGATGTGAAACAGGCTGGTCCCACATGCAAATGTGGTGGATAAAAATTTGAGAGGAATATTTCAGGAGCCAGGAGATAGTCCCACAACAGCCCTCAGCCCCACAACAGCCCCCAGCCCAGAGTTCCAGGGCCAGGAAGACAAGTCTCCATAACTTCTGTCTGCAAAAATCAGTGCAGATTGATTTGAGGGAAGAAACTTCTAGTCTCCCAAGCATGTCCTCTTAAAGAAAACACATACAGATTTGGGCTCACTCCCTCTTGGCTGCAGCAGAGGGCTAGGAGTTTGAGTCACCAGTGGCACACTGGGAGAAACTGAAGTGTCTGGCATCAAGGGGAGAGCTGGGGAACAGTTTTCTTAGAGGAAAAAAAGGCAGGCAGAGGCCACTGTCCCTTTTCTGAATCCTCCCTCCACAAAGCCACAGAGCTCACATGTGGGTGCCATATCTGAGACTCCATCAACCTGCCTTACACTGTTTGCCCTGCCCTAGAGATCTCCTGAGACTCTCTCTCACCAATCTTATGGGCCCATCCAGGCTCTTAACAGGCGCCTTTCAGTATGAATGGCTGGTCTTGGCTCATGCTTCACAACTTTCTAATCATCTCTAACAAGCAACAGCCAGCCTCAGTGAAGCACCATCCCCCATACATCTTCCTAAGTGGCCCCAGGTCTGGCACTAGCAGCAGCCAGCCTTGATTCAGAGCTTGGCTTTGCCTGGGAACCTCCAAGCCCAGCACAGGTAGCAGTCATCTCAAATTGCTTGATAGCTCATGCAGGGTAGCTTGAGGCAGAACACAGGAGGTGGCTAACCTTGCCCTGCACCACATCAGAAACCTCAGAGCCTGTGCATCCAGTGGACAGCTACAGACCATGTCAGAGCACCATCTCCTGGCTCCTGCACAGCTGATCCTCCACAGAGGGTGGAGGATGATGGTAAGTGGTCACAGCCAATCCTTGCAGGTGACTGGCCTGCATAAAGCATTCCCATTAACCTGCCAGCAGAAACCGAGGCTCAATTACAAGAAGAGAGTATACGCAGCTCACACAAAGTGCACACCTTGAGTACCCAGCTTGGGTGACATGGGAAGCTGTGCTACTGGTCCCTACAGAACACCTACAATATTAGGCTACTCTACTAAGATAGGGAGTCATAGCAGCTCTACCTAATACACAGAAACAAACACAGGGAGACTGAAAAAATGAGGAGACAAAGAAAAAATGAGGAGACAAAGACAAGGCCCAATTCAAAGAACAGAATAAGACTCCAGAAAAAGAACTAAACAAAATGGAGACAAGCACTCTATCACATGCAGTGTGTCAAATACTAGGCAAACATAAACTGCAGAGACAAAATAATGTGATATGGAGAGTGTGCTGATGATTGCCAGATGGGAGGAGTGTGGGGAAAACGGGTGAAGAGGTGAGAGAGTTAAGTACAAACAGGTAGTTGCACAATAGCCATGGAGATGTAAAATAAGGGAAATGGAGTAGCCAAAGAATTTATATGCATGGCCCATGGGTGTGACCAACAGAGTGGGGACTTCCTGAGAGAGTGGGGGCTGCTGGGTGAGGGGGCAAAATTGGGAAAAGTTGGGACAACTGTAACAGCATAATCAAAGAATGCAATTTTTTAAAACAGTAAGGTAAACAAAAAATCACCAATGGAAGTTAAATATAGTGGCTGAAATGTTAATGAGGAAAATGTTATGTTTATATATCATCAAAATATCTACTCAAATGATACCTATTAGTAACCAGGGGAAAATATTAACTTTAAACCAATAGTCACTTTAGAACAGAACCTGCCACATACCACCATAGTCAATTGATCAAGGATTCAAACACTAGTACATGAGAAAATTAATATCATGTCTTCTAATAACATGGATTTTGGCATACCTGCTGAAAACCTAAGCCTGTAAAGTACTTACATTAATACATGCATGCACACAGAAGGTAAACACAGTAAAACATTAAACATTGGACAATCAGGGTAGGGCCTTTTCCGGAATTCTTGACATCATATTTATAACATTTCAGTATCTTCAAAATCATTTCCATATGAAAAGTTGACAAATCCTTTGTGTCAGCTGGCACATGCCCAAGAAGAAAGGACTCCAGGCATCACTGGAATCAGGGACACTGTCCCCTAGGACTCCAGTCCCTCTGGCTCTTGGACACCCAGCTCCCCAAAGGGCAGGCAGAAATTAGCCACAAGCTTGGGGACTGGGTGCCAGTCTCTCATTAGTAAGGGTTATCTTTTTAAGTCATCTCTCTGGGAGCTGTTTAGAACAAAATGAAAGTCTGTACAAGTGCCAAGGCCCCAGATGTTTCTTCTGTTTGTGTTGATGTTAGGACTCCTGAGGACAACCTGAGGAGCTGGGCAACAGTCTGGAGCAGAAAGGTGTCTGAACTCACCAAAAGAAAGAGCAGCACAGGTCAGAGAGGCTGGATGTCGGCACTGATGGACAGATCTGCCTGTGTGATGGTGGATTCATGGATGAGACTCTCAGTTCATGACTGTGTGTGTGTCTCTGTGAGCCTTCAGGTACTGTGTATGCTTGTGCACATTCTGTTTGATAGTTGCATTTGTGTGCACACATGTGTGCACATGTATCTCACTCACAGCCTGACTCTTCCTGAGTTAGAGCCCAGCCTGGCCCCTTTTTAGCCCCTGTACACCAAGTTATCAGCCTCTTGCCTGTGATTAGGGACTCCTGATTCATGCCTGTGACCCTAAGTACTTGCATCACAACTGCACATCAGAGGTGACATTGTTGGCTCTGGTGCTGGACAGGAAGATGCCTGACCTCAGAGTAGCCAAGGTCAGATCAGAGAAGGGGTCACACCTCTGCTCAGCAGCATGTGCTGGTGCACATGTGAGCTGTGTCTGTGGGTGACACACTAGTGTGTAGAGCAGCAGGGTGTATTCTGTGGTTTTCTCTGTATAGTGGCGTGTTGCGTGACCATGTGCATGGCATTGTGGTTTACCATGTGCATAGCATGTTGTGGTGGTTTAATGAGTGCACTCTGTGACTGAATAGGCTAACCTGCCCCAAGCTGATGGCCTTCCCCAGGAAGGGGATGAGTCAGAAAGGGGGCAGAAGCATGCCCTCATTTGTAATAAGATAGGAGGGTGTGTGCTGCCTGTTGTGGTGAC